GGGGGGGGGAGCGCGAGTTGGGGGTGTTTGGCTGAGGGGGGGGGGGGGGGGGCTGTGCGAGGCTTAGAAGACAAGTGAAATTAGCCGTGATCACATGAAAATGAATATCGGGAAGCGGATAACAATATCAAAAAAAAAAAAAAAAAATCAAGAACTGCGCCATCGATCATCGTTTTCAAAAGGTTAAAATAATTTTATTAATATGTCGTTTTATACCAGATAAAATCAAATATTAAAAAATGCAATTATGATTAAAAGGACACGTGATAAATCTAATATAATGTTATCTAATATTGAGTTTCTATAAATAATTTAAAATAGTACATTTTTTACCACTTGGTGAAGTGCCACTAAATACTTCAACGCTTGAGAAACTGTTTTTCTTTATCAAAGCATTGAAATTTGATTTCTTTGCAACAAACCAATCAATATGTTTTTTTCCAAATGAGAAACCTTCATCATCGACTCTAAGGCAACCGTTATGAGTTTTACCGTTCGGTAACACGATTCCATCAAGTTTTGGAATATAGATCAATGTTCCTTTCTTTATATCATTGGCTGCAACGGTGACAAAAGGAACCAAAGGTACACCACTTGAAGAAATGCCAAATGGAAATTTTGTTTTGTCGAGTTGGAAGAAGCAAGAATATGATGAACCACAATCGCAATCTATTTTTAAAGGAAAAAAAAAAGGATGAGTGAGGATCAACAATGTTTTTTTTTTTGATATTAAATCATTCAACAAAAGAATTACTTACCATCAAGATTAAAAACTCGATCGTCCTTAGTGATACCGGTTCCTTCTAATTTCATGGCATCAGCAAAATCTTTATTTACTGTTGCAAGCTTTTTACCATTACATGATTTAATATCAACTGTTTTAGTTGATTTAAAATCAGATTCGGATTCAACCCAGAAAAATGTGAACTCTGATTTCTTTGAGATAAGGGGTCCATTAACGTTTTCACGTTTATTTAAATGATTCAAAAGTCCAGGTGGTCCAGACTCCAGAGTTGTGGGAAATGACGAAACATAAGTTATCATTATGAAAAGGATCATTAAGGAGATCGGGAATTTGTTCATTTTGTACATTTTTGATAGTTTCTTTTTTGAAGGTTTAAAGATATGTTATGAATGCAAAGGAAGTATATTTTGTTTTCCTTGAAGAAAGTAATTCTCAGCATGTTGAAAACTCCTCCATTTTATACTTGTCAAGAAGGGATATGAAACGAAAGGGCTTTTAAATTTGCAGCTACACGTAAATTCAAAATTAGTTGCATCCGGATCGCGTAACCCTTCAAAAACAAATTTCTTCTATAAAAAGGAAATCATAAATTTTATGATTGACGTTGAAATGTTTGAGATGGAACGCAAGAACATACACATGCATATTTACCTGATTAGCCAGTTAATAATAGTAACATATAATTAATTGAATCTGATAGTCCAAAATAAAAAAATTTTTTTCTGATATTTTCACACTTTAATTACTCTTTTTAGAAATTAGAATTAAATTTTATTAATAAAATTTGCTTTTTTAGTTTGTTTTTCATCCGTCACTACACAATGTATTAAAAATGGGTTTATTCTAGAACACGTCCAAAGGAAGTGCTACATAATTCACCTTTTTATGTCAATATCCGTTTGTACGAGATTATAATGCATGTATGTATCTCCATGTTTCAAAAAGAAAAAGATGCGCATTTTTCACCCTTTTATCATTCATGATAATGTAAAGGTTTTCGGTTGCAATGAAAAAAAAAAAAGATCCGGAAGATTCATTCATTTAGTCAAACGAAAATGTTTCGGCAAAAAAAAATAAAAGTTTTCCAAATAATAATGTCCTAACTTTGTCAAAGATATCAAAAATGCTGTTTTCTCGAGTCTTGAACATACAAATTAATAAAGAAAGAAAGAAAAAAAATCGAAACTAGATTTTTTTTTTAATTTAAAAAAAAAAAAATAGTTTGTGGAGATGACATCAAATTGGTTGCGTTGGATGTTTCATTATTCGAAATCGACTTATTTGGTTAGTTTAAATTCGTGAACTAACTAGAAAAATACAAACGATAATGAATAATGCACTTGCTATATCGAGAAAAATTCTGACAGTAACAGTGCATGTTTTATTTTCCAATGAATATCGTTGTTTCCTTTAGAGATGAAATTTAATTGGATTAAAGATAAATGAACCTTATTCGTTTAATTCATTAGTAGATACTAATTTGAATAAGCTTCATTCATTTTGAGAGTTATTCAAGAAAAATTTTCGGAATAGAATATTCTTTCCAAAGTTATTAATAAATAAAGTGATCTTATTTGTTCGCAACGTTTCATTTTTTTCTCTCATTAAATTATTTACTTTTTTATATTCCAGTTTGTTTTCATTAATCTTTACAAGATTCCAAAATTTTGAAAGATTTTCCAAACAAATAAATAATAAACGATTTCATAGGTTCAGACATGTTACTTACTGCGGAAATAATCTTCTTAGAACAAGGCAAGAACTAAAAATAGCACCGCCACTATTTTAAGTGCATCTTTTCTTTTTCTTTTAAAAAAATAAAGATTTATTATTATTACATATTTCTCATTGATGCTAAAATTTAACTATTTATTAGTAATAAGATGAATTAGTGAAACATCAGAATAAAAATAGTAAAGACGAAACTTGATGCCAACCCTAACCCACGTCTAACCCTAACCCCAAGTTATATCGTTCATACACGCCGTGGTAAAGTTAGGAAAGGTAAAAATAAAAATTTTGTTTTTGTTCATGAAAAATAAAAACTAGCTCCATATAATTTTCTTCATTCATAAAAAATAAGAAACAAGAATCATCTACTCAAAATGTATTAGTTATTCATTCGATTGAACATCAAAAAAACGTTTTCATAACAGCAAAAAAAAAAGAATTCGTCTAAAAAGTTTATTTGTGTCCTAGGTGGTCTTACAAATTTTACTAGAATTACTACAAGTAGTTGTTTATTTTTCAACGAAAGTTCTATAAATGCATGTAATGTCTTACAATATTACCCTTTCTTAAACCATTGTTGCATAGAATAAACAAATGAATGTCGCGGGTATAACTTTTATGTTAAATAAAAGGCGTTTGTACACCCCACAAAAAAATTTATTTAAATTACAAAGAGGTGATTCCATTGCATATGAATTCGATCCACGCGTAAAAACTGTATAAAATCATGGATTTTAGCCCAGAAAAAAAAAAATATCCCATCTCATTTTCGTTCATTTTGATAATATTTCATTGTATATTTACATTCCTTCATTCATTTTGATAACATTTCACATTCCTTCATTCATTTTGATAACGTTTCGTTTTGTATATCATTTCTTTGATAACGTTACTATTGTACATTATTCACCCGTAATTTTGTAAAATTTCCCCTACAAATTTCAAGAAATATTTTCAAAGATGACCCAAATAACTTTTTTCCTCTGTTTACTTCTTCCAATCCTTTTCATAAGTGCTACTCCCACCTTTTCCTTTCCGGCAGATAGTTCTGAAATAGAAAAACACGCTGCTGTTAAAGGAAAACTTCTTTCCTCGAAATCCGTATTTACCTATTATTGGGTTTCATTTGAATCGGATTACAAATCGTCTCGTCAAGTCACGATTCGAACTTGCGATAAGAAACCTATTGCGACCGTAAATAAGGATTTTGCAATTGAAATGAAAATGGAAGGAACCGGTATAAGTAAATCTGGCAAAGTAATTAACTTTGGTGGTAAGTAATAATAATAAATTTTCTTAAATCTCACAAACGTATCATATATTTATCATATTATTAAATCGCTTTGCTAAATTTATCCGCTTTTATTTTTTTTCTTAGATTGTGATTGCGGCTCTGGTTTCGATTGTTTCACTGAGTTAAACAGAAAGGAGCTCCCGTTTGGTGAATCATCAAGTGAAAATCCCCTTACACCATTTGTCACCATAGCAGCTAATGATATTCGTCCGGGAACAAAACTTTACATTCCAAAGCTTGATGGAATGATCATGCCGGGCGGAGTACATCACAATGGATGCGTAAAAGTTGATGATGAAGGTCATGGGTTTGGAGGAAGACACATTGACTTTTTTGTTGGCAAAGAATCTAATTACAAGACCTTGATAAAGCAAAAGATGTTCAACGAAGTTGAAGTTTTTAGCGCAAAGAATTGTAATATTCTGAATTACAGTACATAAAAGGTTAAAACTTTGCCAATTGACTTTTAGAAATTTTATCCAAGTAGAACTTTGAATCAAAAAATTTTCTTACATTATACATATTAGATAACGATAATTTTAATATTTACTTTTTGATTTTTATGTGTACTTGAATTTAATGAACAATTCTTTAGGGTTCGTTTGATATTCTATATATATAGTAACGCGGTATCGTACATTGCATTTATACATACGTCAGGTAGATGAAAGAAAGGTTCCTCTAATATTCTTAATATTCTACTAATATTATATAATAAAATAACTTATAATGATAACTGGTTGCATTTATTATTGAAATATGAAAATTAAATGAATGATTTTGATCTTATTAAACGAAAAAAAAATAGCTCTCATTTTTTTTTTTAAAATAATTTTTTCATATGAATTATTGTGTGAAGACGTTCCTTTATACTGATTACTAGGACGATATTATTAGAGTTAGGTACCAAGTGTTTTGAATAAAAAAATATATATATATTCGATTTTCTTACGATGATTATCATGTGGCCAGATTACGAATTATGTTTATAAGTTTATATGTTCACCTAAATAAAACATAACTAGAGTCTAACGCTTCTAAGAATAATTGAAATTAAGGTAGGGTCCATAATTAAAGATAATATGATGGTGCGAGTAATGGTGAGATTTGAATAAAGGTTTCAATTACAAATAACATAAAATTATTTTGTAATAATGAGATGATTAAAATTAAATTTGTAATGATTAAGCATCTAAAATACAATACTAACCAAAGCCTAACTAGAAAAATCAGACAATGTTTTCGACTAGGTAGAGATGTTAAGCAACTAAATTTAATTGAATTAAATAAATTATTAATATTACTTGTTCTATCGAACTGATTCTTTTATAAGATTAAAATCAGAATCTCAAAATTATTAACGTTCATAAATGAGATAGTCTAATTTGTTCTCCGTTTCTCTTGTATTTACTGAACATATTCTTTATATACCGATTTTTGATTTCTCTCGTTAAAAATCTTTACTTTTAATCGCATTACAAATACTTAAATTAGTTTACGAGTTTTCATACGAAGATATGAGGAATTCCATAGGTTCAGTCATGTTATTACTGCGTAAAAGTTTTTTAGGAAGTTAACTTTAAAAGATTGATTTAACGTTCTTAGATTAGGAAGTAGGTGCCTACATTAAATGAACGAGGGAATACATTTGAAAATCATGTGCTCACAACAAATTTAATATTTCTTGTCGACTATTATTAATATTTAGAATTTTTTTTTTTAAAAAAAAAAACTGGCACCACTTGTTTTCATTCATAAAAATAGAATCTATTTAAACGATAAACATCTAGTCAAAGTATAAGTTATTCAAATTTCAAAAAAAAAGCAAAGAAAAAAAATGAACAATAAATTCACTTAAAATTTTATTTTCCCGTGTATGAGCGTTTTCAGCGGAAAATTCTATAAATGCACGTAATGACTTACAATTTTAACCTTTCTTTTGAAGTGTTGCGGGTATAACTTTTTGTTAATATTATAAAACTTTTTGCATGTTAACACAACTTATAAACAAATTTAAGTAATTTACATAATGATTCGATATTGATGAGTTTTAAGCCCTTTGGAGGAAAACAAAAAAAATATTTTCATCTTCTTATCGTTCGTTTATAATATTTCTTTTGCATATTGTCATTTTCAACGTTTCGTTTGTATAATATTCACTTCTTTTCCGTAAATTCGTAAAATTCCCCTATTTAAATCCCCATAAATATCAAGAAATATTTTTAAAATGACTAAATTCACTTTCTTCCTCTTCCAATCCTTTTCATAAGCGCTATTCCCATCTTTTCCTTTCCGACAGCTAGTTCTGTTTTGAAAAAAAAACGCGCTGATGGTAAAGGAAAATTTCTTTCATCCAAAACTGCATTTACCTATTATTGGGTTGTATTTGAATCAGATTACAAGTCGTCTCATCAAGTCACGATTCGAACGTGCGATAAGAAACCTATTGCGACCGTAAATAGGGATTTTACAATTGAGATGAAAATGGAAGGAACCGGTGTAAGTAAATCTGGCAAAGTATTTAACTTTCGTGGTAAGTAATAATAATGAATTTTCTTAAATCTCTCAAAATGTATCTTATTATCATATTATAAAATCGTTTTGCTAAATTTATCCGCTTTTTTTTTTTTTTCCTTAAATTGTGATTGCGGTTCTGACTTCGATTGTTTTTCATTGAGCTAAAGCATAAGCACTCGTTTGGTATTTCAATCAAGTCAAACTCCCCTATACCATTTGTTACCATAGCAGCTAATGATATTCGTCCGGGATCAAAGCTTTACATTCCAAACTTGATAGAATGATCATGCCGGGCGGAGTACGTCACAATGGATGCGTAAAAGCTGATGATCAAGGCTTCGGGTTTGGAATAACACGTCATAGTGTAATAATAAAATGTTTGTAAATAATTTAACTGCGCCACTGCAGATTTATTTTAATCTTTTGATTGTAATAACTAATATTTTTTTAATTTTTAATTTAATTTGGATTCTAATTCTAACCATCTATTGCGTGATTCGAATCATTCGCTAGTCGCAAAGAAAATACATCTTTGAATTTTTTTTAAAAATAGAGGAAACATTTTAAACATATTTAGTAAAATTTAAAATAAGAATGATAATGAAGGCAGAGAAACCTGTTAATAAAGCAATTGTTAACCCATAATTAGGATTTTCATCCTTAATTAGCGTTTCACCAAAGAATGCTTCAATCTGTGCGGAAGAAGCGGCCAATAGTGTGCCAATTTGATAGACTAAACCGGGAAAAGTTCCACGAAATTCAACTGGAGAGATGTCGTTCAAGTAAACTGGAATTACTCCCCAGCAACCCTAAAAACAAAATGATAAAAGAGTTGAGTGTTTTTTATTATTTTTTTTTTTTTTTTTAGTAAGAAAAACATGATATTTAATATTTACTTACGGATATACAAAGGTACATAACAAAAGCCCCGATTGCCAAAATATTATGATTCTTCGGCATCACATATAAAGGTAAAAAACATGCGGTGAAAAATATAAAACCCATCATTGTATTTTTTCTTCCAGCAAAGTGATTAATGTAACCACTTATTACCCCTCCTATTAATGATCCCACATTTGCAATTGTTGTGATAAAAGTTATTTGACCTGGTGTGAAGTCAAGTTGAACATTCAAAAATGTTGGGTACAAATCTTTTGACCCTTTTTTGATAATAAAACATATGAATTACATATGCATATATTATTATATACACGTATTGCATTAATTGAAGAATCATAAATTAATCATCGTCCTACCGTGAATTACGAAATTTAACGCGGTCATTAAAAATATAGTGAAAAAAAATTTTCTCCAATGATTGGTTACATTTAACCGTATTTCTTCAAATGAATTGTATGATTTTTTACGTAGAGCACGTATTCTTTGCCATTCTTCGGATTCTGGTACCAGAAAAAATATTATTATAACTAGAATAACCGGAAATGAACCTATGTAATACGTAACACGCCATCCCCAATTCGTAATTACGGCATAATATATTATCGCCGCTAGGAGAAATCCAAGAGAGTAACCTTCTTGTAAAACTCCCGATAACAAACTGTCAAAGAAATCGATATTGATAACTTTTCTTTATAGATCACTTATTAGGTTAAAAATAAATAAATAAATACCCACGACTTTCAGATGGTAAGGTTTCCATTGTTAACGCGGCTCCTAAACCCCATTCACCTCCCATAGCAACCCCAAAAAGTGCTCTCGTAATAACAAAGATTGAAAAATTTGGTGCAAACCCTGATGCTAATTGTAATCCACTGGACATAACAATATCAACCATTAATGTATATTTCCTACCATATCTGTCTGATAGTAAACCAAATATCAATGCACCTAGCGGTCGAAATATTAACATAAAAGTAATGCTAATCTAAATTAATATGAAGTTTTGAATTTATTTGCCTGTAAAATTGAAATTTAAATAATATTTATATACCTTACGGCAACATCAGATGGACGCAAATTGAAATCTCGAGCGATATAAGGTAATGTAAACGTAACAATGAAAAAATTAAATGAAACGGACGTCCAAGCAAGTAATGCCACAACGAATGTAATAAATTGCGTTTTATTGATTAGCATTAACTTTTCTAAAGGACTTTCGTTTTTGCGGGGAGGTGATAAATCCGAGTCAAATTCTTCGATAAAGCGTGATCCTTGCATTTTGTTCTTTTTATTATTGTTTTATTTTTATGTTTTAAAAATTATCAAATTAATGTTTTTATACTGTATATATTTTTTTTTTTTAAATTGCGGCTTAACTGTAAGCCACAAAAGATCAAATGAGGGAAAGCCGTCAAAGTTCTTATCACGTGTTATAACTAACTTTTTTTTTTTGTTGATATAATCAAAGATATTAAGCTATACAAGCAAAATCCTTTTTTTTTTTTTTGGCAACAAATGTCATGCGGAGCGAAAATCTCAAATTATGTTGATAAACATTATCTTAAATACATTAAATTTTTTTTTTGTTTTGTAAGGCACATTAAATATGATTTCTAATGTATTTGTAAAGAGATTCAATTTGTTTGGTCAAGTCTTGATATGTTTCCACTATAAAAATTATAAAAATTTTAAGAAAAGAGTGTGCATGTGAAAAAAAATACGGATTTTGGTTTTTTTTGACCACGTATTGCCATTCAAGGGCCCGTCTAAAGCGTCGGTAATTTGGCCGGCATTATGGCCTGAAGAATTAATCATGTGACAAAATAAGGGGACTATACAATAAGCATAATTTAAATATGGATAAAATAAATAACATAAATAAAATATACTTACTAGCGTATAAGGATGGATGTCTTGTAGATAATTCACGATTAAATTATCAAATACAGATCGATCTGGCCAATTAATCTGAAAAATATTTTTTACGAGACCATTGTTCTAATTCATACCAAGGTGATAATTTAGTTTAAAATATAGAATAGTATATGTGGAGTTAATATTTAAAGCGTAAATAATATTGCTAGTTTTAAGGATTATTAATTAGGGACTATAATAAATACCACCGCTTCTAGCTTTTCCAAAAAAAATAGGCAGAGATGGCGATATTTCAACTTCGATTGATTTCCAGAACTCAGAAATATTTGCAACTTTAGTATCATCCTAAACATATAGAAGAACTTGTTAGATAAATCTAAGCAAGCAACTAATTGATGGATTTAACACCATTGGTACAGCACTATTGATATCAACTATGCCTCCTCCACTAAATCAGCTATGCAAGTTTATCAATACAGCACCACTATTGGTACAGCACTGTTGATACCAAGTATGCCTCCATTAATCAGATTAGTTATTAAATACCAACAAGAAATTACTTACTTTAAAAGAATTGACAACGTATTGCGAATTTTTTTACTTCTTCATTTTCGGCGTATAAAGTCAGATGTTCTAGAAACGTTTATTCGCGACGCGACTATTTATATCTGTGATCATATGGGTAAGATCTGCACTGTTTATCACCGTGTCGCATCCTAACATCAACAGAAACTTATTTTCTACTCAAAAATTTATTCGTCACAACACTATTTGTCACCACCATAAAATCAGGTTCCGGCAAAACTAATGTTCCGGGCAAGCATATTTATAACATATTTTCAAATTAATTACATATCCAATGACAAACGCTTTTAGTTTATTGGTTTTTTTTTTTTAAAAAAAAAAAAAATCAAATGAATGAATCCATTTATTATAGTTCTATGATTTTATAAAATTTTAAAAAAATGTTCAACGTATGTATAAAAGTAATGGATGAAAGCAATTAACGAATAACAAATAACACAAGTACGTGCAGCCAGTTTTTTTTAAAAATTTGGCCTTAATAAATACAGAAATATGTACAAGAATGAATGTTTTGCATCTCCTTATTCGGCAGAAATTTGTGACGTTGAATCGGAGGTAGAAATAATTGGAGTATTTGAAGTGTTTGGAGTATTTTGATTATTGGGGGTAAGATTTGGGGTATTATTAGGGGTATTTAGACTATTCAGACTATCCAGGCTAATTGCTCTATTTCGAATATTCGGAATTTTCGAAACATTCGATTGAATTAATTGAGGCATCAAGTAATGATTATTATCGATAATAATCGGTTGCTTGTGCATTTCAATTCTAACCTTTGCAGGTTTTTTCAATGAAACTGCAGGATAAAGTTCAGGAGGTAAAGTGTTCCAAGCTTCACCACACCTAATACCATTTATAGAATAAGCTAAAGATCTATTACCCATATTAAGATGTACGGTAACCCTATCCCCTTTACCAAATTCCATACCATACTCTGTTAAGCTCGATTGATCATTATGATAAAGTAAACCATTTGAACCTAAAACCCAACCATAAATATTTCCCCCTAACCAGGTAGAATAATCCACTTTAAATTTTCTTTCGGTACAAACCCCTATCCAAAGATGTTTACAAGTCTCTTCAATAAAGATGTCCCATTCATAAATTTCATAACCACGAATGGGTAAAGTGGTTCTGGCCCATTCATATTTTTTTGAGGATGATTTTAATAAAATGTCATTTTCCAATAGCATACATTGTTTACCACAAGCTTGTTGACTCCATTGTAATCTCAAATTTTCCGGTTTGGCCGTTATAGTACCACGATTACGCTTTGGACCTGAACCTGCGGGTAATTGCGCTTGATACCTAAAAGCGTCAATCAACATATCATTCGGCACGATATCCAAGGGTTCAATTATGTTGGCTAATATTGAAGGGTGAATCAGTTTAAAATCCACGCTAGGTAATAATGCATTTAATGTTGTCGTGATTGATGATTTAATTTCCTTTGATTTCGATTTTTTTGAATTCTTTTCGTGTAATTTTCTTAATTGTTCTAATTCCCCCGCGTCCAAATGTTCGGCGTGATCTGATGACGGTAATAATGGTTCAAAGTATGACAAAATCGAATCATTATTCTCATCACAATGATACGCAGACCATAATGTTATATAACGAAATACTCCATATTCCGACGTAACGAATTCTTCATAGCTCGTATTAATATTAAGAGGTGATAAAATAAATGTTAAACCTTCGGTCGTCAAATTATCATAATCAATGGATTCTAACGGGGTTATCACTAGACAATTATGTAATGTGCGAAAGAGCGTATCATCAGATGATGGTAACATAAATTCCGATGCATGGGTTAAGATCTTCGCCGATAGATTATTATCCGCGCTACATTTTAATGCGTTATCTAAAAATGTTATGATGATTTCTTCCAATCCTGGTAATAAAAAATATTCCGCTCCTAAATACGCTTCTACCACATTTGTTAATGTTAATGATTCCATCGTTATGTTCCCCATATATAAATATTCTAATATTATTAATAATATTTCTGAATTAAATTCCGTAAATGTTAGGTTATTCTCACTATTATCAAAATTGAGTTTATTCAAACTTAAACTGCTACTGTTGTTATTATTCTCTTTATCATTCTCCTTGTTGTTGATATCCTTTATTAATAAACGAGCGAATATATCCGATCTTGCCGCCAGTAATAATTTACTACCGTACACCACTCCTCCATCTTTGCATGTTATTATGATATCGCTATACACCGGATTATTAAACATTGCTCTCAAATCGGCTCCCAAAAATTCTCCTTTATGAAGTAATACTTCTTTCATATGGTCATTTTTTTTGTTTCGAGATACGCAAATTCCCATTTTATCTTATTATGGTGTTTGTTGTTGTGAATGTTCAAGATATTTGATGCGAGGGAAATAAAAGAATTAAAATTTGTAAAGCAAAAAGTAAAAAGATTTTTGAACTCTGAAAAAGGCAAATAAAAAAGGTATTAAAAATATTTCCCTATTTATATATATAATAAAATTTTTACATCAGCACATGAATTGATTCAAGTATGGTTTATGTAGTGTAACCCCTACTAGCATGTTAATTCGATCAATTTTAAAAAAGAGGACAATATATATATGTATATAAATGTGATAAAGTGGTTTGCTCAACCATTCCATTTAATTAAAAAACGAACAATTAACGATGATGTAACTAGACCTCTATCATGTAAATTATTACTGTAATGTTTCATATACAAATCATAAAGTGTAATAAATAATTTCCCAATAAATCTTTTAATGTAAAAAAAAAAAATTCCGGAATTTTTTAACACTATCATCTACCCATTTTTATACCTTATCAATAATGCACGCCAAACCAAATTCATCCTGTATTGCATCATCTATTTTTTATTTAAAATATAAAAATCTTGTTCTACGATTAAGCCACGTGAATTATAAGACCAAAAAAAATCATTTTAAATAAAATAACTCGTCATCTCTTATATTTTAATAAAAATATATAATATCTATGGAAGAAGTTCAAATTAATAACATACATATTAGTAATCATCATGTGTATTAATATTATAGTATCGAAGGTCTAAATTTGTATTTATTAAAAGTTTCAGTGCGTGTAAATATAAACGTCAAGCAATTTTTTTTTTAAAGGCGAGGAGAAATACAATAAACTCGGAACAAAATACTTTAACTTACCTATATGATCTTATACATATCCACCTCCTCCAGGAACGCTATGTATCATGTTTGTACCTGAAGAATTTATACTACTTTCACTAGCATTATGGAGATGTAGTGTGGAGGTAGAATTTGAAACATCATCTCCATCACCATCCATCAAATCCAGTACTACTCTACCTTTTTCATTCCAATCTGTGAGTGATTTACTTACTATTAGCTCATGCTGTTCATTAAATGCCGATTGTTTCGAATAATTTTGTTGGTTACATCGAAATTCATAAATATCTGATAATAATTCAAGTTGTTAAGTATAATAAAAAAAAAAAAAATTTTTTTTTTTGATAATAAAATTTGTTTGTACCTTTTAAAAGACGACCAGAAACAGAGCATCCTAAATCATTATTTGCATTCTTGGATAACAAATATGCGGCGGTTAACATCTTTTCCGCTTGTTCATTCTGTGTAGAATAGAAAATCGCACCAAGAACCGAAAGCGTTAAAGCTTTAAGCTGATTATTGGATGATGTTGATGACAATTTTAAAGTTTCTGCCAAATGTTCTCTGCGGGGAAAATTTCAAAAAAAAAAAAAATTAGCGAAGTTAAAAAGTTAACTACGAAAATCTTGCTGAAAAAAAAAACGGGAGTTTTCCTATCCTTACTTTGTTCGTGTATAATCACCACACGATAATGCCTCCAAAAAGTGTACCATGGCTCTTAAATTATCTATGTGATGTGTTTGATACATCATTTCTTGTTTTATTTCCTCTATTATTATTCCAATCTATCATTAAAAAAAAAAAAAAAATGTCTAAGCATTCTTGTTTTTAATATTATAGAAATTCCTTTGATATACACACATCTTGCTGTTGTTGGTTATTACCGGAACTACCAAATAATATTAAAGCACGGTTAACTTTGGTTAGTATTCTAATTTCTCTATTTTCGGTGGTCTTTAATAATGAAATAATAATAAATTAATAAATCTATCTAAATACGTTTGTTGAAATAACAAGAAAAAGATTCTCATACATAAGCTACCTTTTCTACTTCTTTATAATATTCCATTGCTTCATAGGCTTTACCAACGCATTGGTTTATCATTCCTAGTGCAAGTGCTACTGGTACTTGGAATTGCGCCCATAAATTATACGAGGTCAGCCAATTCATCAATTGCGCAATAGTCTTTAAAAATAAATATGAGTGTTAACTCAATAACTCAAACTTCCATACAATTTTGATAACTATATATGATATAAATCATCTCACTTTCTCGGCATCATTATATTCTGACCTCAGCAAATAAGAGTCAACTAGGTGTTGAAGCATGTATGCCTTTAGCATAACGTAAAATTTTTTAGATTTGATGACATCATGAACCGGCAATTGATTATCTTAAAATTTCAAAATATATTAAAATGGAGTTACACTTAAATATAATACACTCGAACATTTACCATCATTCGAATATATCTCCCCTATAAAGAATAAAAAAAAAGGTGTCAATAAATGAATAAATCAACGCCAAATCAATATATTTGAATAAATTACTCTCAACAATCTTCAATCCTTCTGTCAAGAATAAAGCAGATTTTGTTGTTGCATTATCTCCACGATTACATATCCCCGATATTAAAAATGTAAGGGTATAAATCTCTGCTTTTGATAACCAACGAATCGTGACTGGCAAACTTGATGCTGATGATGCAGCATTCGTATATGTTGTCATTGAAGTTGTTGGAGCGGCAGATATATGTATCTAAAAATAATTCTATGAATTTAATGATATTATCACCTTGAAATAAATAAAAAAAAAAAATCTTATTTATTTGTTTATTTACCGTGGTATACCCTTTCAACTCATCTACCGTCTCCTCATCCCGTTTTTGATCTAAAATATGATGCACTTCTGTTAACTTGTCAGTGGCCATCTTCACATTACCAGTATGCATATGATATGTAATAAATAATAATGAATAATATAAATGAAGTAGTTGATTAGATATCGGGAATATGTGATATGTTTGTGGATGTACATTGGAAGGCGGTGGAAAATAAACCGTTGATAGTTCAGCGAGAGCGTGTTGCGCTATTGGATAATTTTGGCTTGAAAACGCATATTGAGCGATTGTAATTAGAAGGCATGCCTATAAAATTTTTAATTTTAAATGATGATCAATTTACAAAACCAAGAAAAAATTTAAATAATTCTTCAGCCTTATAATTCTTCACCTCTTTAAAAATTCATTATGTACCTTCATTTCAACGTCCCCTCTCTGATCTGCCATTGTCTCCGCTTGTTTTAATACCGATAAACATCCATTAAAATCACCCTCAGCATAATAAAATTCTGAGCGTTTTAACAAAAAGTGATATGTCCAATTTGGCATATTACTCCTATAATCAAAATTTTCAAGGTTAGTAAATATTTTCATACAAATAAAGTCAATTGCAATAAAAATAATAATAATAATTCACACACTCCATTGATTCAAGTGCACTTGATTTCATTAGATTTCTCGCTACTTTAAGGTTATTTGTGCTTTTGAAAATGTTACATTGAAGGTCAATCATTTTGAACTTGAGTTCTGTAACATTATCAAGCTGTTTCAAAATAGAAAGAAAATATTTATTTTTTTTCATTCATTAATCAGTAATATTTATATTATTATTTACCTTTTGAGCAAGTAACATCGCCTTTTGTAAATGATTTTCTGCTTCTCTAATATTATCGGTAAACCGAAAAAGAATTTGACTTAATCTAAAGCGTGTTTTTAAGTCTACTAATGCCATATAATTATTCCCAGTCATCATACTTGTAAGAACCGATTCCAAACATTTGATCGCTACCAAAATATGTTGTTGGTGTTGTGGGGATAATGCTGGAAAATTAACTAGAGATGAAGTGGATAATGCAGATGCTTTTATTAAATAATGTTCCGCCAGATACCACAATAATTGATGAGGCAATAATTGAGGTTCTTGAGATTGTTGTCGAGGAAAATGAGACGATGGTTGCTGGTGATATACATTAGGAGCTTGCGGGAGAGCTTGCGTCGGTACTACGGGCTGCGACAATTGACGTGTTGAAGTTAATTGTTCCGAGGATGTTAATTGCTGAGCAACTGGTTGTTGAACAAACTGTTGCTGTATGTATTGTCGTTGTAATTGTTGATAAAGTTGCTGTTGATTTGTTTGTTGTGGAGTATGAGCGTATTGATTTACTTGTTCAACTTGTTCTACTTGAGGAAGTTGTTGAGGCATATGATAAGTGTTCGTAGACATTTGGTTTTGAGAGAGTTGCGAATGCACAAAAGGAATAGATTCATAGCCCCCGTCATAGCGCATATATCCATAATGAGTTTGTGGTTGTTGATAATATTGTTGCTGACTTTGAATTCTGTGTTGCTGAGGATGTTGAAATAAATCCTGCTGCTGTCGTAATTGTGAATGTTGTTGTTGTTGTTGTTGTTGTTGTTGTTGCTGTTGCTGGTATTGCCATTGTTGTTGATTAGGCCATGCCTGATAATTTGAAGGATAATGACGTTGTGACATGTGAAAAATTTTCTCCCGGGTTTTGTTTCAACACGAGTACTTTAAATTCATAAGTTCAAGCGATGGATGAAAAAAAGGTGGTATTTATATAGTAATACAAAGATTTAGCCAATTAGATTCCGTCAAACAACACATTAACATTTCTCCCAAATAAATGAAAAACGATGTTAATGAAACGTCAATGGTGACATTTAGTTAACTTTTACACGATCTTTCCTTTTCATTTTCATGCAAGATCTAAATCAAAACTATACATCGATAATTTTACTGCGGTTTTTGATTATATAACCAAAACCTTGGGGATGCTTTTAAATGAAATGTAACCTTTATTATTTGAATCATCAAAATTGTATTAAAAAAAATAATACAAAGAATTCCACAACATTGAAAACAAATGTTTGAATCAAAAAAAAATAAAATAAAATAAAATACAGTTCAAGCTTTTCGACATGAACGCGTTTGAATTACCAAAGATGACTTTTGTTCGACGACTGCTGCTGATTTACTTACTATTTGTCGATGACTCATGTGACACGGTATGATTAGATCTAGTAACCACTTTTTGGACTGACGTTTCACCGTCTCTTTTGTCTGGCTTGCGAATCCGTTTCGCGGATGGTTTGATCGTCGAAGTATCAACATCTGCATCATCAAGAATTGTGACAATCTTACGTTTCTTACCAATGACTTGGATAGGTGATTGAACGTGTTTTGTGACCGGTTTACTGGACAAAGGATCATCCTGAGCTGCAGTAAAATTACGTTTTTGGCGCGTTGATTTCTTCTTAGGTTCCTTTATAAAAGACAGGAGAGTAAATAACATGGTAATAACTGACGATCATTAGAAGATGTAAACGTTTATAACTTACTACATCCTTAGAAACACGTGAACGTGAGATCTTCCTTTCTATCGTATCTTCAGGTAACTTTTGTACACTTGGTACAATAGCACTAGTTCTCCCACCTACAGTTTCAAATAAAATCTGTTCTCCATCCGGCATAAACGCTCCATTCTTCGCTCCTTTACTCCATCTATAATGAAAAAGCCAACTATCAGGAAACAACCGCGCTTCAGCATTTACATCAACCGCCGTTTTACATACGTATACCAAATTCTCGTGCAGTGCATTGATTTGTTCTTCGATGAGTGTATGCGCGTATTGGCCAGGATGAACATGTGATTGAAACAACACTTCATCTGCGACCCAATTGCCAATCCCAGCGGAAAATTGTTGGTCCAATAACAAAGCTTTGATCGGGCACTTTCGCTTCAAAACCAATTCACTGAATGTCTTTACGTCCGGCATGTTCCACAAAGGATCAAATCCCAACCTTAATATAGGATCATCCTGTAATGGTGAATTAGTAACCAGACGTATCCTTGCTAATCTGCGTACATCAGTGAATGCCATAACAACTTTTTCAGAAGATGTATTAGTCGAATCCTTTAATGTAAGAATAAATTTCCAAAATTTTGGAGGCCATTCGCTTGGATCATTCTTGGATGGTTTACGATAAGAAAATGCTCCTTGATCTTTAAACTATCAGGAAAAAAAAAAAAAAAAATTTCATTAAATGAATAAATTAATTTATATCAAATCATTAACTGGATATGATTATTAACATACACGAATATTTCCAGTCATTCCAAAATGAAAGACAGGGTTTGGACTTTCGTTCATTTCTAATATTTTAACAGGACATTAAAAACGATATTACGCGGAATCCAACACATTTTTTTACTCACCAAAATAGAAATATTTTCCCCATCGACCGGTACTTTTGACGAACTTATTTAATAAACTACGTTCAAATTCATCATTTGATATACCACAGAAAACCAACTTGTCTTCTTGCTAAGCTTAATGAAAATGTATATTATTTTATACGCAGATTCGTTTTAGAAATAATACCGTTTCAACTTGAACGATCTGTTTTCCAACTAAATTTGCATTACAAGCTCTCTCGGCACGGTGAACCTCTGGAAGCTCCGGCATTGAAAGCTTTACAAATGATCTTTGTTAAAAAAATGATAATTCGAGCAGAGAATTTAATTTTACTTTACTTTTGCATAAATTAAACTTCGAATCCCGTGTTCGATTAATTAATTTAGTAAAAATGCACGCGTTGTCATCGTTGTAATATAATCTTCATAATAATATGATTAAAGGTGGGGCTAATGATTTAAAATGAGATATATATGGAAATATCAAATAGAAGATCTAAACAAAAAAATCTGATATTCAGGGGAATTTATCAAATTTATTCTCATTTTATCGCTTAAATTCACGAGTAAAAGTTTTTTCGGACCATCATGATAAATTATATAAAGAATGGATCATTCAGAACAAAAAAAAAAAAAAAATCAAGAATTCAAATATCAAACACTTCTAACTCTAACGACAATATTTTGCAATGAAGTATCTTTTCTGGTTTATCACTCTTATCTTTATTGTCCATGTCCTGTCAGTTAATGCGTTGCCTCACCATAATGGTAAAAAAATAAAAATTTGAAATCATTCATAACTTTTTATCTTTCTATTTCTCACCATACATTTATTTTATTTATTATTTTCATTGGTAGACCTCATGAAACGCTGTAATGATGGTGGCGCTGGTTGCGGCTCCGGGGATGGTTGTAGCTGTGGTGTTGATGATGTCACCTCGTGATTTAACCTATATGCGACGAACTATGTCTATTACTGCTTCTCTATCCTTCCCACATTTTCGTTTATTAACCAATTTTATTATTATTTGGGTTGATTGCTAGGAAAATCAGGTTCCGGGGATTTTTTTGAGATTTTTATTGCATTTTAGTTTTTGATGTTATTAGATTAAAATGTATTAAGCTCTTAATTTTAGTCAAAAATTTCTCGGAACCTGATTTTCCTAGAAACCTCCCATTTATTAAATCTTTATAATTTTAACATTATTGCACCCAGAATCCAATATTATACCGTTTAGACAAATTATTTCTTTCACCTGTTGCTGTATTATTATATCTTTTTTTACCCTTTGACGTGTTTTGTTGAATTTACTACGAAATAAGAAAAAAAGTATATCCTAAATATTGGATTTTTAACAAACTTTAATTTTCGATCTGCATTGCATTACTTTACTTTCGAAATTGTTTGAACGTACAAAAAAAGTATGCACCTGGTGCCATCCTAAATAACCTTGCTTATTTACATATCCATCGAATTTCGATATTCCGAAATACTAACTTTATTTCAACGCGAGAAAAACCATGTAGCGTTAAAAGAAAATCATCGCATTTGCATTTGTTATTATTTTTATGCTAATAAATAAAATCACGTTTTGGAACTTATGATTTACAACTTCCTTATTTTTACGTGTCTTTGTTAGACTTTCCGGATGAAATCATATTTACTTAAACTAGACGTTCTCGTGATCCTCTATCGTCATAACCATGCACATCGCTCAAATTTTCATGTGCCCCTCAAATAAAGGATACGACCTGATTGGTTTGTTCGCATTCATTGTTGATAATATTTTGTGAAAATCGGTACTTCTTTTGAGTAAATCTATTATTTACTCTGGGCAAACAAAATTATTTCTCAGTATAGATAGGCAAGGGGAATTTTTTTTTATTTAAAAAAAGAATATAAAAAATATTTTTTTCTTGAATTCCCACCCCCTCTAAAATGAAAATGAAATAAAAAGTTTGAAAATTGAAATTAAATTATATTGAAAAAAAGAACTATAAAAAACCAATTCATTTAGAATAATGGCCAGAAACTTACTTTTGATTGGTACAACAGGAAGTGGCAAGTCTACATTGGCCAATGTGATAAGCGATACCATTAATTTTAAAGAAAGTGAGTCTAGCGTTAGCGAAACTCGCGATATTCAAAGCGAAAGGTTTTACATAAACGGGGTGAGGTATAACATAATTGACACCATAGGGATTAACGATACGCAATTAACCACTCATCAAGTCTTACAAACCATCGTAAATGCAACGCGCGCGCTAAGAGGTGGATTAAATCAAATTCTATTTGTAAATGATGGAAGATTTACCAATGTTGAAATATCCGCTTATAATTTATTGAAGAAAGTCATCTTTGATGAAGATGTTTATGAGTATACTACTATCGTGAGAACTAGATTTCCTAGTTTTAGGGATGAATTGGCCTGTGATGTGGATTACGCTAGGATGATCAATGAAAACGAGCAGGTTTTCGAAATTGTTGAGTCATGTAATCAAATAATTCACGTAAACAATATGACGGTCATTGAAGATCCTGATCAAAGCTCCCGTGATGATTCAAGAGAGAAATTATTGTCCCATTTGGTAACTTGTCAAAAAATTTATAGACCAAAAAATTTATTTGATTTAAATGAAAGAACCAAAGATTATATGGAAGAAAGAGAAATTTTACAACAAACCTTACTTCAGGTAAATGAACGAATTGAAGAAATAAAGCGAAATGTAAAAAAACAACAAGTCGAATTGGATAAGCAAACTTCGGAATCGTTAAAAATAAAAGAAAAAATTGATGCATTGGACGATATAATCATTGATGAGGTGGAGCAACATCTTGATTCGAGAAATTCGGTATTTCTTGCAAAATGCAACATTATGTAATTTATTTATAAACATTATGTAATTTATGTAAAAACTGTATTAATTAAATCTTTTATCAATAATAATATCAATAAAGTATATTTTTTTTTAAATCTTGAAACGAAATGAAAAAATGAAATTAAACGTACATTATAAAAAGAAAAAATAAATAATATGAAAAAAAAATGAAATTAAACGAATAATAAGAAAAAAAAACTGAAATTTTATTGTCTTCCAGATCTTGCAGGTATATCGCGATTTTACGGTCTATTTCAATTTTGCCTTACAGGTTCATCACAGGTTTGCCTTGTGTTTTGTATTTATCTCGTAGTAAGCAAATTATGATTTCTCCTACAAGTGTACCTTGATTCTAAAAGAGTAAATATATTTAATATAAATCTAAAAAATCATTTAAACATTTTTAATTATTACCTGGCCTATCTCAGAATTGAGTCCTGAAGTGGTTGTATAATCTTTTCATAGTATACGTCTACCTCTCACCTCTTCTCGCTCCATTTTGATAATCATAAAAATTTTAAAAGATATTAATTATACTGTTAAGTTATATTTATCATTATATTGTTATTTATTTATTTATTTATGTTGTAATCTCATACTAAATTTTTTCATTTTAACTCACATTAGCAAGTTGAATATGCTGTATTGAATCTTTGATTGATTTATCAAACTACACTCCTCTAGAACTTCGTCTTATTGCCTCTGTACCTTACATAATACTCTTTATTTCTCCTCCTTCTTTTCTTAACTAATAAGTTGATTTCATTATCCTTTCAAATAATTCTTATAGTCATTTTTGTATTTGTAAAAAAATATGATTTAATGGAGTAAATTAAAATGATTTAAAGTTTGATTTAAATTTCAAAAGGTGAAAAATTATACAATGGTAAAAAATACTTTTTTTTATAAATAAATTTATCTATTAATTTGATATCTTATGAAATTCTTTATTTATGATTGAAATAATACAATCTTGATTAAAATTCTGATTTGTATTAAAACAAAAGTCAAAATAATAATATAAGTATTATATTATAATTATGCATTGTATTATTTATAAAAATTAGATCAATCCAAATATAACAAGCAAAACTCATGATTTATAATACAAAAAATACTCTTTGTGATTGAAAATTCTGATTTGTATAAAAATAAAAAAGTCAAAATAATAATACATTGTATTATTTATAAAATTAAATCAATCAAAAAATAACTTACGTAAATTAATAAATATAATACATCAGATAATCAAAATAGATCAATAATAACAAATTATCACCTCAGTGATAAATAAAAAATCATTATAAAATTATTTGTCACAATTTAGTAAAAAATTAATAAGCAATTTTAATACAAGTTTAACAAAAATTGGTTAAAAATTAATAAAAAACAATGTGATTTCTCGACACAATTTTAACAAAATTTTAACATGATTATAAGGGTGTTATTTAGTCAATACATCAAAATTTCTTGTAATTATGATATCATTTATTCTGTAAAAAGTAAAAAAAAAAACTGTAAATATTATTGCATAACTCTCAAATTACTATTCTATTATAGTAATAAATTTATCAAAATTAGTTTGTTTTGAAGAGACAAACTGTTATTTTAAAACTTCTTTTTTAAGCTTTTTAACTCTTTCTTTTTCATATTAAAAGATTTTTCTTGTTACTCTAAATATAAAATTACTTAATTATAAGCCTTAATAATTTCTCTAAAAGTAATTATTGGTGATAAAGAATTTTCCTCTCTTTCATCTTCTTGATCAGGTAAAACTGCTTTTAAAATTTCTTCATCAATATTATTTCATCTATAATTTTAGACTTATCATACTTGACAAATTCTTTAGCAGAAAAGAATTGTCAAAATCTAGTTTATCGATTAATACTTAAACTTCTTTCATCTCATTTAACCATTTAAGTTCAAATAATATATCATTACCAGTTTTATCCTCATTTTTATGATTATCTTTAGGTAAAATATCTACTTTCATCCAACAATTTTCAATTGTTTTATTTGTAATGTTATCCCATACTTGTGCAATATATTTTATATACTTTTTAATATTAATTTTAAAGGATTTGATATAGTATTCATTAAATTTATCAAAAGCTTTAATCTGATTTTGTAAATAAAGCTTTCTATATTATGCCTAAAATAAATTAAATTAGAATAAGTATAAATAAAGTTAATGTTAATTATATTTTAACTAAAGAATTATTAAATCAATTATATTTCTCACCTTAAAACTATTTATAATATCTTAATCACAAGATTAAAGGTGTGTAGTGGTATTTAGGAGAAGAGATTAAATAGTGATATTAGTCAGATAGGTAATTTTATAAAGAGCGTATATCAGAGCATTATTTATAAGAAGGATAATTTTCTGATTTTATTTTTTCATTTGTATTGAGTTTTTTATATAATCATTTCAGATTGAAACCTGCATCCAACTTTTTTGGTTCTAATAATATTTAATTAAAAGCATTCTTTTATTAATATTCTTGATAATCTTAAGATTTTCATACTTGTATATGAACAAAGACGTCAGCTTTTCACTCTCCGTTATATTACATATAAGTAGGATCATTACATGATTCTTTAATTATTTTTTTCTGATATTTATTTATTAGATATCATTTGACATGGTTTTATCTTCTAAAATAATCCTGTTTTGTCACAATTAAATATATCTTTAGGACTATATTTTTTTAATATTTACCAGAGATTTTCTCTCATTGTTTTGAGATCTTTGAGCAACGCATTTGTGACTTTTCTATAAATAATGTACTGTTTAAAGTTATGTCATTTTTTAAAGTTGTCCACCCAACCACTAGACCTTTTAAATTTATCCTCTTTTAATAAAAAAGCAAAACTTAAAACTTTTGTTGAAAGAATATCATCAGTAATAATAAGGCTAGCTTTGAGTGCATTATTTACTTATATTACTAATATTTCTTTAATGAAAGGAAATAGAATTTTCTTATTACATTTTAAATTGGCTTGGTATGAATTAGTATTCACAGAAAGCCAATGATCTTTCTTCTTTAAAATGTTACTTACCATACCTTCACTAATATCATATTAATTAGCCAAGTCTTTTTGTTTTAAAAAAGGTGATGATATTTTTTTAAACAAAGTTCTTTTTTTTGTGCAGCTATAAGAGACATTTGTTTTTTTTAAAGGTTCATCTTATTTGTTAGTAGGTTGATTAAGTTATTTCTTTGAGTTTACTTTTGGCATTATTGACATTATGCAAAGAAAAAAATGCATAAAAAATAAATATGTAAAAAAAAATATGAAACACAAGATACAATGTATAATGTGAATATTTATTCATTTTTTAATTTTATTTAAAAACTAGGTATAGAGAATTACAAAATTTTATATATATAAATCTAGTAAAATTTATTTTAAGCAAAACTTTATTGTATCAAAAAAAATATTCATTATAGAGAAAATTTGTTATAAAAAGAATCATTTTATATATAAATTTTTCTAACTTTAATTCGTTAAACATAATACAAATTTTTAATTACTAAATTTGATATAGTAAGGGTTTTTTTATATTTAAAAATCTGTCTGATACTGAAAATCTGTTGTATTTGTAAAATTTGTTATACTAAAATTTGTTATAGAAAGAGTTAACTGTATAATATAAAATTTTTTTTAAAGGTATTTAAAAGTTTCTATCTATAGTATAACTTCTTATGTAATCCAAAATAATAATTTTATATCCTTTAGATCATAAAAATCTGATATATAATTTATATAAAAAATAATATTTCTTGAATACTACTATAAATTTATTTTCTTATCCTGATCTATTATATTAATCAATATATTTAATTTTACGTATAAATAAATATGAATAAGATTTTCACAATTTAGTTGCATATCTATATCATTATATATATGCTTTAATCCTTTTCTTATCACAGAATATTTCAAACATATTTTCTTAAAATTTTTATAATATTTTATATTAGAAAAATACTTTTTGATAATATCATTCTATAAAGATATAATTTGATTGGCTGTAATAAAATTCAGTAAATGCATTTTATAATTTTTATATAAAAAAATAAGATTTTATACTATTTTTTTTACTTATATAATTTGTAATATTGATATATATTAAAGATCTTAAATAAGATTTTATTTTTTAATATATTTTAAAAAATTTTTCAGAATTAAAGAATTCTTTTTTATTATTTGATAATATACATAATAAATTATAGATATAGCAATCATCTTTTAAATATATTATCATTATTAATATAAAATTTAGTATAATTTAAGAAAGACTTTGATATATATATTTTTTTTATTATAATCAACTATTCCTTTTTAAGTTTATCTAATCAATATTTAATAAAAGTTTTAAATCTTTTTTTTTATTTATTTATTTTAATTCTTTTTTTTATTTTTATTAATTTAAAAATAAAATCTTTAAGGTAAGTATATCTTTAAAAAATATTTTTTAAAAATTCTTTAAAGATTTATTTAATTTACTTTTTCTTAGAAGCAAATCTTTTATTTTTAAGTTTTTCTTTTTAGAATTCTTATAGAAAATTCTTATAAATGTATTTTTAATAATATTTTCTTTTTTTTTAAAAATCAAATCTTTCATTTTTCTAAATAAAGATAAGTTTTCTTTTTAAATTTTTTAGAAGATTTTTTTTTAAAATATTCTTTTTTACTATTTTTTTTTTTTTTTAAAAAAAATTAAATCTTTTATTCTTTCAAATAGAATAATAATTTTTTTTTTTAGGATTTTTTTAATAAATATATTTTTTTAATATTATTTTTTTTCTTTTTTTTTAAAAGCAGATCTTTTATTCTTTTAAATAAAATAAGTTTTTTTTTTTAAATTCATTTAAAATTTTTTTTAATATATTTTTTTTACTAATATTTTCTTTTTTAAAAGCAGATTTTTTATTTTCTTAAATAAAATAATTTTTTTTTTTCAAAGTTCTTTTTAAAAAATTCTTTTGAGTAAA